AATGCAACGCGGCCTCTTCCAAACATGCCTAACTATGAAGATTCGACAAAAGAAACAAGAACAACTTCATGCTCTTGTTATATCTGGCTCACTGCTCGGGCAACCAGCCATCCAAAAGTTATACAAGGGAGAGCACATACCTTAAATGTATTGAGTGAAAAAAACTCCACCAATGGGTTGACTGCTTTGTCAGTTGGGTCAGAATTAAAAAATCATGTAAGTAAACTCGCTAAAGCCTTCCGAAGCACAGAAATGTCGGAAACATTAAAAATTCACGTGCTTCTAAATCATTTGGAACATTGTCTGCATTTTTTAGGCAACGACAGCTTCGGAATGTGGTCGGAGCAAGCTGGAGAATCCATTCATGGCGTATTTTGAAGATTTTGGCTCAATTATAAAGTTAATTCGATTGACGACCCTAAATATATAATCAATTAAAAAAAAAACTGTCGTTGAATTTTCATCAAAACACATATGAATTTATATAAAATAATATTTTATATTGACTTTGTAAATTTATAAAATTTATGCAATAAGAATTATTAAAATATGCAATTATGTAATATTATCTCTTGAATAACTAAGTTAAAATATTTTATGCTTATATAAGAAAGTGTTATAATTATATTACCATAGACCTTCGCGATTATATAACTGGATTTGGAAAGTTCTAGATCAACATTTTATAATATTTTAAGCATAGGAGCAGATGGAATTTTATTTTCAACGAAGTTTTGATCTATGATTATGTACAAAGACAGTTATGTAAGCCGTTTTGGTTGGCATTTTAGTCATAGCTATGGTTGCTTCAAGACCACTGTGTTCAGAAGGCGCAGCAGTTGAGCGCAACCATTGCTAAACAAAAATCAGTGATCGTTATGCGTCTTTTGAACGACTTCATATATTAGCTGTCAAATTCAACTCTCAAAGGTACACACCAACATGTTGTCTCAAATGATCAGAAAAATATTACGATCATCTAACACGATCAGTTGATCAGAAGTACGCAACAACGCGTTCAGAAGGTGCAACCGTACCAGTTACTGAGCTGTTGCGCCTTCTGAACGTGCCCAATGAAAATTCGTTTCTCTTGAAATCAAGTTATATGGCTGCGTATGTATGTACATGTGTACATAATTCAAAATGTTTTTTATTTGTAAAGGCTCTCAAGAAAAACTAAAAATTCATATAAAATTACGCACAATAAATGGAAAATAAATTTTCCGCTATAAAAAATTTCTTAAAGCAGTATGCAGCTCTTAAGAAAAAAATGCTCATACATCTCGTCGATACAACTATCGAATGTGAAAATCAGCACTTTTAAAAATTTTGATTTGCCACTAATAATTTTCTTTCGTATAGCAGCATTGCTTAAGTTATTGTTTTTGACAACTTATTTGTTGGTTAATGACTGCAAATAGTTTTATAGAAAATTAGAAACGAGAAATAACACTTTCATAAAAATTTAAGTACATACATAGATTTAAAAAGCTGCTTGAATACAAAAGTTTTATGAAAATGTCACATTAAACAACTGTCTAAATCTACGTTATTTTTTATAAATAAGGCCGTAAACATTTCCTTACATCGTCAATTTCCATATTCTATTTTTACTCTTTCAATTTCACTGACCAGCGCTGCAAACGATATCAACTAGTAGGCTAACAACCAGAATTGAAATTTAATACGCAAGTACTTACCGTACTACAAGTATACAGAGAGTAAATTTGCTCCCTTTTGGCAGCAGCAAATATCTCTCGTACGCGATGAGAGAAAGTAGAGTACGTACTTTGGTGGAGTAATAGCAAGTACGTCAAGTATTTACTCTCTCAACGCCAAGTAGTGTATGTATGCGGAACACGGTGGGCAGGAAGCAAAGATAGGTTGCATAAAAATGTCGACAAAAACTGAAAGCAGGGTTGTATTTGTTGATATTTTTAGGTTAAGAATCCCTTTGAATTGAAATCCTAGCTGCTCCTGTTTTAAAGATATCCACATTTTACATAGTTATGATAGGACCGACTTTTGCGAAAGAGAAAAACATCCTTGTGCATTAAATATTCAACAATGTATGTGTGAGTAAATGTGTGTATATATATTGTGTGAAAATATAAGTTTATGTAAGTTTTTAGCCGGTTTTAATCGTCTCCAAGGCGCACCACGTAGAGGCAACTTACTTTGCACCTCTTTGTTCTTTTTTTGGTTTTATTTTTTTATATTTTTTTTTTGCTTTATTTTTTTATATTTGTTTTTTGTTTCCCTTTATTTTTTTTGCTGGCTTACTATATAATATAGTCACACATTTTAGTATTTAAGTATTTTATTATTTAGTTAAGTTTTTATATATGCTGGAATGAAAATGTCATTACAGTTTTCTTCAGGCGACTCACAAAAGTTGGTTTATCAATCATATTTATTTTGAATCTATCCCAGAATTTAATGAATTCCCTATGAACTGACTTCCCGGCCTGCTCGGACCATAATCCTAAACCATCGTTATTCAAGAATGAAATAGATTGCTTTAAATGTTTAAGGATAAAATGGATTTTGACAGTTTGAGAAATTCCAGTACTTTTCAAAGCTGTGCGGAGTTCGTTAAGATTTTTATCAAAATTACTAAGATCCGCTTGTTTTGCGGAAAACCATGTATTCACGATTTTGCTCATGGCTTTGAACGAGGCAATATATTTGGTATTGTTTTTACTGAGAGTTTCTTCCATACAAACTATGTTCGACATTTTTTTGAATGTGGAAGACACTGTCAGCAAAAAATAAATAATTGCAAAAAATCAACGAAATTTTCTGGTAACTTCAGACTTGCACTTTACTAATTGGCTCAAAAGCTACATTTTAAACAATTTTCTAAAAGATCTGATTAGAAATTGTGATCAGATGAAAGTGTCTCCGAGCCAATAATTTTGTACGGCACGGTACTTATAAGTAATCTAGGTTTCACGAAAAAAAAATAAATAAATACAAGGTAACATTAAAATATCAGTCATTTGTTTCGTTGCTGTCAGCTTGTTTCAAAACTTCTGGCTTTTGCTATAATTGTAAAACTCTGTGCATGTCATTTTAACGTATTTAGGTACATACTTATATTAATCATCAACTATTGCTTATGCAAAACGTGCTACATTTAAAAAAAAAAATCGCATATGAAAGAGCACCAACCCAACTCTTAATAATTTAAGTATACAAATTTTAGTATTTAGTATAGAAATATTCAATTGAAATACGCCAATATTAAAATGAAGCGCTTTGCAATTAACGGATGCTTTTTCATAATTAAGTTAAAAAAAAATTTATTTAAATTCCATGCTGTCTGTAATGGGATTTGAACCCTGACGCTCTGGAAATTAGCAAATTGTGGCAAGCATCTTCGTGCAGTCAGCTACAGCCAGACATGTAAATGTGCATTCAAATGTTCAGTTTGATTCAACACCACGTGTGCGTGGTATGAAAGTATTGTTTTTAAGTACGAACATTTCAAAACGATAATCAAATAAAAAATATTCATGTTTACTATGCGTTATTTCCCCGGGTAAATTCATAAAATTTTTCTTAATATTACAACGCGTTTTTTCCCTCAGCGTAGTCATTTTTAAGCAAAATTTGTGCAATCAAATCGAAAACCGGGACACTTAAATGAAACCCGGGACATTTTAAGGTTGGACCGGGACACCGGGACAAATAGTCTAAAACCGGGACATGTCCGGGAAAACCGGGACGTCTGGCAGCCCTACACACAAAGCGCATACTTTCATGCGATTTTCTTTATGATCGCATTTGTGTTATGGATGTACAATAGTCATTATTTCCTGACAGAAGAGTACATAAATACAAAAATAAATCTCATACAAGCTTTGAATTTATTTACTTATTATGAGGAGTACCGTTGGAATAAGTTAGAGCATTTTTATTTCTTGCACAAGCGCAGTGCGACTTGCCTGCGCTACTTGCTTATAGCAACAAACCTTTAATAAAAAAATACTACCGTATTATATAGCATACAATATTGTATACATACATACATATATTGCGATATTGAAAGTGTTTGTAATGAGAAAGTTCACGCTCCAGAAAAGGTAATTGTGGTGTTTTATCTAAGTTGTATACCGGTAGCGCCCAATAAATCTCGATCAATTATTCTTTCGGTAGGAAAAAATGAAAATGTTTCACATTGATTTGATCCGTTTTAGTGAGTTAAAAAAGGGGAACAGATTTGTATGAGATTTCTTTTCGTATAAATATGCTCTAATTAAGTACGCCTTCCTCTTTTGCAAATATATCCTATCAGAAGTATATAAAATGTGGATATCTTTAAAACAGGAGCAGCTAGGATTTCAATTTAAGCGGATTCTTAACCTTAAGATATCAACAAATACAACCCTGCTTTCAGATTTTGTCGACATTTTTATGCAACCTATCTTCGCTTCCTGCCCACCGTGGGAAAAAGAGTAACAATGTGTTGGGAGTAGAGTATAATGCAAGGAGTACTTATTGAACGAAATGCGGCAAATACACTTGCGCTGGACTCTAGTTCAGATTGTCCACTTGACCCCGATATCCTAAATGAAGCATTTGTAAATTGTACCTATTCCTCCTGTTCTCTCACCTCCTGTCCCATACTCCATTGTGATGGTGTTTTCCATGGTCAAACGTTTGAGTTTTGTGCAGTGTCAGAAATTGATGTCGAAAAAAGTGTTTACAAGATACGGTCAAATGCTATCGGTGTAGACGGTATTCCAATTAAATTTATAAAGATTATTTTACCGCTAATCTTGCCAACCCTAACTCACATAATAAACCACAGTTTTACAACGTCTTGTTTCCCTAATATGTGGAAAATTGCCACTGTCCTTCCGATAGCGAAAAACAAATCGTCGTGTATCCCCAGTGACTTTCGTCCTAACAGTATACTTCCTGCGCTGTCTAAAGTAGCAGAATCTCTAATGTCTGAGCAAATCTACTACCATGTTAGTAAATTCAATCTATTATCGCCTTTTCAATCTGGATTTAGAAGTAAGCACAGCTGCTCCACAGCAATGATAAAAATCCTTGATGATATTCGTATAAGCTTTGACAAAAATCTCCTGACATTACTTTGCTTGCTAGATTTTTCCAAAGCCTTTGATTCAGTGAACCACGAACTGCTTTGCTTAAAACTAAAGAACTATTTTGGCTTTGGACAATCTGCAGTGCGACTAATGGAGAGCTACTTGGTAGGCAGGCCTCAGTGTGTAAAAGTTAATTCGAAACTATCTAAGCTACGACCGCTGTCGTCTGGGGTTCCCCAAGGCTCTATCCTGGGGCCGCTCTTATTTAGTTTGTTTGTGAACGACGTATTCTCTACTTGTCAACAAGCCAGTATGCACGCTTACGCTGATGACATCCAACTATATATGTCCAGGCCTCTAGAGCAGTCAGCTAATTTGTCTTCAGATTTCAACAAGGATTTATTATCTATCAAGTCCTGGGCATCGCA